ACCTTTTACCTTCAGTCTGAGTATGTCTTTTCCTATGAGTTGAGTCTCTTGAAGGCAGCATATATTTTTTTTAATCAAATCTACCAATCTATATCTTTGGATTGGTGAGTTTAGGCCATATTCAGGGTTATTATTGGGACATGATTTATATTTCTGCTCATTTTTGTTTATTTTTGGTATTTAACTTTGGTTGACTTTTCCTTTATTGTAGTTCTTCCCTTTTGCAGATTTTTATTATTATTTTTCATTTCCTCCTCATGGAATATTTTGCCTAGAATGTTCTGTAGTGCAGGCTTTTTTATAGTAAATTCTTTTAGCTTTTGTTTATCATGGAAGGTTTTAATTTCATCATCAAATCTGAAGCTTAATTTTGCTGGATATAACATTCTTGGTTGGCATCCATTATCTTTTAGAGCTTGGTATATGTTGCTCCAGGATCTCTTGGATTTGAGGGTCTGAGTTAAAAAATTTGCTGAGATCGGAATTCGTCTTCCCATATGAGGGAAAACAAGTTCCCTCATATGGGAAAATGAATTTGCATCTCAGCAGATTTTTTTCTCTTGTGGTCTTTAAAATTCTACCCTAATTCTGTATGCTAGGCATTTTCATTATAACGTGTCTTGGTGTAGATCTGTTGTAATTTTGTACATTTGGTGTTCTATAGGCCTCTTGTATTTGATTTTCCAATTCATTCTTCATGTTTGGGAAATTTTCTGACATTATTTCATTGAAGAAATTGTGCATTCCTTTGGTTTGAATCTCTAAAGCTTCCACTATCCCAATAAATTTTAAATTTAGTTTTTTGATAGTATTCCATAATTCTTGGATATTCTCTTCATGGTTTCTCTTATTGTTTCTTTCACTTCAATGATTTGATTTTTTTTCTTTTTTTTTTAAGAATCTCTATGTCTTTCTTGAAGTATTCTTTTGCTACCTATATTTGCTCTCTTATCTCTTTGTTGCAGTGATCAATTTTTGCCTGTATCTGCTCATTTAGGTGGTTCTTTAATTCCCAAATCTTTTTAGTTATGTATATTCTGAACTCCTTCTTCAACATTTCACCTACTGCTCTATCTATGGATTCTATTGTTGTAGTATCTTGGTTTGTTTGGGGCACTTTTCTCAATTTTTTTTTTCAATGATGTCTATGTGTCTTTCTCTATTGCAGCGTAGGTCCAAGGTATGACAGCTTCTGCCCTATTGTCTTATAGTGTCCCTACAGGTCACCAATACCTTACCTTTAGGTGGGAGATCAATATTATAGCATCCAGTGTACCCAACCTGCAACCAATTAGCTTCTATTTTAACACTTACAGTTTTATCACTATAATCAGAAATGATGAGTTCAGGTGTCTTCTACAATATAGTCAATAGATCTGTGTAATTGTTTGCAGTTTCTAATGGTAGAAGGAGGTATTGAGGGTTTGGCTGAGATGTTTATGAGGTAGGATGGGAGAATATAGACGTATTAGATTATATGACTAGTGAGAGGGTAATCATGAGAAGTTGGTTGTTAGTAGGAGAAACAAGAGTAAGGCAATCCCACACAAGACTCCGTTATCTCAGCAACAGGATAAATGTTAGCACCCCTAGTAGAGATACCTCCGCTGCAGCTAGATCCAGAGGGACTTTGGTGACATCTTACCAGATCCTTATTGTTGTCCCTTGATAGAAACAGCAATATTCCAGTTTCGTGGTAGCGACAGCCTCAAGCCTATATTTACCCTGATGTTGGGCTGCCACACTTTGGTGCCTCCCCCATGCAGGTGCTGGGGCAGGCTTCTCTCTGGGTCTTAAATATTATTTTTAGTTGTAGTTGGACATTTTTTTAAAGATATTGTGTCCATCTTATTTTTTTTATTTATTTATTTTTTATTTTTCGGCGGACACAACATCTTTTGTTTGTATGTGGTGCTGAGGATCGAACCCGGGCCGCACGCATGCCAGGTGACCGCGCTACCGCTTGAGCCACATCCCCAGCCCCCGTAGTTGGACATTTATTTATTTATTTTTATGTGGTGCTGAGGATCAAACCCAGTGCCTCACACATGCTAGATGAGCACTCTACCGCTGAGCCACAAGGCCAGTCCAGGATTTTATTCTTTTTAAAGCCTGAATAATATTCCATTGCAATGTTTATACCACTTTCTTTATCCATTTCTTTATTACTGGACACTTAGGTTGACCCCATATGTTGGCTATTGTGAACAATGCTGCAATGAACAGTATCTCTTTGACATACTGATGAAATGAAATATCCAGTAGTGGGATTGCTGATTCACATAGTAGTTCTATTCTCTGTTTTTTTTTGAGGAACCTCCATAATATTTTCCATACCAACTATACCATTTTGCATTTCCAATAAAAAGTACACAAGATTCAAATTTCTTTACATCCTGGACATTTGTTTTCTTTTTATAACAGCCATCCTGATGGGTATGAGGTGATATCTCATTGTGTTTTAAATTTCATTTCTGATTAGTGATACTTAACCTTGTTTTTCATATACCTTTTGACTATTTGTATGTCTTCTTTGGAGAAATGACTATTCTAAATCTTTGCCCATTTTTAAAAAATATTTATTTTCTAGTTTTCAGGGGACACAACATCTTTGTTTGTATGTGGTGCTGAGGATCGAACCTGGGCCATACCCATGCCAGGCGAGCATGCTACCGCTTGAGCCACATCCCCAGCCCAATCTTTGCCCATTTTAAAGACATTTTGAATCTTCTTTTTTCTTGACTTATTTTTACTTCCTTGTATGTAGTTAGTGTGCTATATATACCATGCTTTATATACATGATTACATGCATTATGTTTATAAATATATGATGGTAGTTCCCTACTATTATAATGGAGCTGAAAAATTCCTATTACTTAGTGAATATGCAGCTGAAAAGAGAGGCAGGAGAAAAGAAACTGCTCGAGAAGGAAAAGAACTGCCTCTAAATTCACAGCAAAGGAGGAAGTATTTGCAGATCTCAATAAGCTTCTGAAAAAGTTTGAAACCCCCAAAGGTTTACATTAATAGAGATGGATCTTCATGGTGCATTATATTACTTTGGCTACTTGGTGTCTTTTGTGGTTCCATATGAATTTTAATATATTTTTCCTATTTCAAAAAAAGCTATTAGAATTTTGATAGGGATTACTTTGAATCTATAAATCGCTTTGGGTAGTATGGACATCTCAGCAATATTCATTCTCCCAGTTCATAAACATGAGGTATCTATTTGTCTCATCTCCAGTTTCTTTCATCAGTGTTTTGTAGTGTTCAGTGTAAAGTTTTTTCACTCCCTTGGTTTAATTTATTTCTAAGTACTTTTGGAGGGCAGATATTGTAAATAGGATTATTTATTTCTTTTCACGTAGTTTGTTGTAAGTGCATATAGAAACACTACTGATTGTTGTATGTTGCTTTTTGTACCCTGAAATTTTACCAAATTTGTTCATTACTTCTAAGATTTTTGGTGAAGTCTTTATGTGTTTTCTATGTATAAGATCCTAGCTACAGTGACAATTAAACTTTTTCCTTTCCAGTTTGTAATTTCTTTCTCTTAAATAACTGCTCTGGCTAGAATTTTCCAGTATTATTTTGAATATAAGGGGTTCAAATGGGCATCCTTGTGTTGTTCCTGATGGGCATCAATGTTTTAATAAGCACGTGGGTGTTGAAATTTCTCTTTCACTGTGGGCTATACTTTGATAATAAGGATTAGACAGACCCTAGTTTGCCTTTTGGTGAATCATTTGGAACCAATCTAAGAACTGGTTAGGGCAAATTTTCTTTGCATCATTACTAGAGATCTGGCTAAATTATGTATATTTGTTATTAGTAATTGAAATATGTTTTTAATGATTACTGCTTAGATAGAAACCTAATAATTAATAGTAATGATGTCTTGGTGGATAATGGCTGAGATGCCTCAGTTTCTCCAACTGAGCACTTAAGAATATAGTTTCAAGTGTCACAAATAGGATCCTGTCTGACTGCACAGGGAAGCATCCAATAACCCAACACAGGAGCAGGCTAATTACTAATTTTGTAATTAGTAATTAGCACACCATACCAGTGGTTTTGAAACTCTCAGCTATTATTGGACTTATTTTCTGTTATTTAATGCAAGAAAAATCTGTAGCTTAATTCACTATTTTTAGTACTTTTAACCCCTTTGAGCCTCTTGGAAATGAGAAAGGCTAGTTAGTATTTCTCTTCCTGAGATAGGCCTTTGTACCTGATTTCAGTCCCACATAGATGTTATAGGGGCCTAATTTGGGGAACTCTTTTTTTCTATAGGCTGGTGGGGGAAAATCCTTGTGAGTCTTAAATTATCCTAGTAACTGTGACAATGAGAAATTTATTTCTTATTGCCTCAGATATAGATTTTATACCTTAGAAAATAATTCAAAATTAAATACTTCCTTCATATAGGACAACATCTTTTTTTTTTTTTTTTTTGGTCAAATAATAGGTAGGAGTCCCATTTGGGTGGTAGCTTATCTCTAAGGCTCATTAAATATATTTAGAGAATACCCATTCAAGTTTATAATATTAAATTTTTGTCTTATCTATTATTTGGATTTTTAAATTTATTTATGTATTTGTCACTACTCTTCTGCTGTTGGTGCTCATTTTGGTATAAAAGCTAAAGACCATTCATTAAAGTTGGGGGTTTGATGTATCAAGCATTTGGGAGAGGGTAGAAAAATGGGTATTCATTTAAAAAAAAAAAAAACTAAGTAGGAACTGTATACTGTTTGCTCATTTTCAAATCATTTAAAAGTTCAACAAATAACACAGTACATATTTGATGCACATTTATGCAGTCAGGGGAAAGCAGTACTTTCATTGATGTTTCCATTAACTTTTCTGATGTTATAAATTTCCATTAATTTTTAGTCTGAACATTACATAGTGACATTTATATAAAATAAGAGCAGATGTTAATTTAAAACATATGCCATACTGATAGTGCATGTTTTAAAAATTGCTTTGGCAGGATCTACTAACATATTGGCACATTCTCTTCATGGGGTCCCTCACGTAGTAACTGCAACTTTGCACATTATAATGGGTAAGAATTCTTCCAAAGAAGTTTGTTTTATAAGGAAGTTTTTATTTATATAAGAAACACTGTTTTATTTCTGACAGATGTATCTAAGGAATGGCAAGTTCTTTGTCTCTTGAGATCAGAGAAATGTTTGACTGAAACCAAGAAGTCAATTAGGCAGGGCTTCACTAATTTGGATTACTTATTCAATATATTGTTTTATAAAGAGTAGTAAATTAAGCTTTACTATAATCTTGATAGAAAAAAAATACTAGTGATGTTCAAAACCACAATTTTATAATCAGATCCAGAAGAATCTATGGATATTATTTTAGTATATAACATAAACTGTTTTTTTTTTAGTATATCAAGACTCTCAGGCTAGGATTATGTTAAAATAAAAAAATTACAAGAAAATTATTTTAACCAGAACACGTCTGTAGTCTATTAATCATCCCAATTTGGAACATTTTATTTTAGAAAAATATAAGGCAAAACTACAGTTAAATCTAAGTTTACTTTGTGCATCAACTTCAACATCACTTCCTTAGCTATGTTTTATATGAAATAACAATAAGCTGGCAAATTTACTGCTTTAGGTTTTTCACTTAGAATTTAGAAAAGTTACAAATGATGTCTATAGTAGTTATAGGTAAAGAGAGATGAAGAGAAAGCAAGGATATTCATTGTGGTGTACAGTACCTTGAGATACTATCCCATAGATAAATAAATGTGGTCTCTGATGTTTGCTGCTTTGGTAACTACATGTACTTCATTCACTGACTAATATTCAATACAATACTCAGGGCACATACAGCCAGTTGATGTCTGCTCCTTCAGTACCACTGGCAAGCTTCTTCGCTTTGGGTTTTCAGCCATGTTTGGCTTTGGTGGTAGAACTTTGGCTCTTGCGGAAAAATATCGATGGATGTCTCCTAACCAACGGAGAGATTTTGCTGTAATAAAGGCACTAGCAAAACTTGAGTAAGTATTTTTCTTAAACCAAGAATTTTGTTTCATGGGGTCAATGACTATTAATAATAAATTTTATTATTTTAGGCCAGAGGATTGTGAAATATCATTTTTACCACTTAATGGCTCTCAGGATGACCCAAAAATGTAAGTTAAAACTCAATGTAATAATATCTGTATCCTTCTTTAAAGCATAAAACATTTTGAAATAATTTACTAGACTTGTGATCTTAGGTTATTTTCTTATATACTAAGAGTCAAGAGTATAGGATCACAGACTCCTGCACGTTCTAGTAAGCATATAGTTTGGCTTCTGTCTTCAGGACACATACAACCAGTCGAATCCATTCATTTATTCATTCAACAGCTGTTCGAGTGCCTACTACGTGCTAGACACTTTGGATATATTCATGAGCCTAAACCCAAACAAAACTCGCAATTTTGACCCTCATGAGAATTTTAGTCTAGTATGGAAAACAAATATTAATCAAAGCCAAACTGAGGAAGGGCTCTACTCATGAAAGTAATTGAAAATCATTGTTCCTTATAATACTGTTCTACCATTAGATGAATTAACACATTATCAGGTTGGCAGGACAAAATTGCTCATATATTTTCACTTACTATTTAAGAAAATCTTTAATATATACAAGGATGGGTTCTCTGATTTCTTCATATCTAATAGGTACCATGTGCATGTGTGTGTGTGACATGTTTTGTCTCTGTTTTGTTCTCTTTCTTTCAGGAGGGCCCAGGGATTACTCAACTCTGGTAAGTCCAAGAGCAGCACCTCCTTGTGACCTGAGCCAGGCTGTACTGGCATTGTGCTCTGGTGAGGAAAGTAACTAGTCACGTTCATTGCCTTTAGACTGTAATGATCAATGGCAAATTATCCAGGGTCAGTTCTTGAATGTCAGCATTATGGCAATTCCCTGCCTGTGTTCAGAGGCACCTAGAGGCTTGGCACCTAATACCAGGTAAGTAAGCATTTTTATTGAGTTCTTGATATTCTTTTTATAAACCCAATTTTTTCTTTCATGATGCCCAGTTTACCTTTGGCTAGCTAGAAACTGCCTAATAGGTAGTGTCTCTTGGCACGTAAGAGTTTCTAAAGGATTTCTTATCTTTCAGATAACAAAATTTTCTGTAGTAGGGTGAGAAAAACTGTTGAACTAGATATTTTGCCAGATAATCACTGACCTTTTAGTAACACTAAGGCTAAAATCATATTCCTTGGGTTTTCTTGACTTCATCTTGTTATTTCATGCTTACCTTATTTCCTTTGCTTATTTACGTTTTTACTGGTTGTTGAAAACATTACATTCTGATGTTTCTTGTGAATGTCTCTTTCAATCTTAAAGCAAACAGAAATATCCTTAACATGAAAAGGATAGCACATGTGTTTTCATTTGAAACTTTAAAGGAAACATTTCAGTTCCACTTAATGTGAACTATGATGCATAGGATTCCACGACACACATTTTTAGTTAAATAAATTATGAGACATTTTATAAATTTCATCTATAGAGTATAGAAATTGTTGCTCTTGCACATTTTTTGAATCATTGTGCATTATGAGTATGAAAATATCTCTCCCACATTCCAATCTTGTATGAAAAAAAGGATCATGACTGTTGTAAAATAAGGTTTTGTTAGCTTTTCATTGCTGTGACAAAATACCTAAGAAAATCAACTTAAAAGATAAAGATTTATTTTGGTTTATGATTTCAGTCCACAGCTGGCTAGCTGGCCTCATTCCTGTAGGCCTGTGGTAAGGCAGAGAATTGTGGTGGAGAATGTGTAGTAGAGAAAAGCCTCTCACTTCATAGTGGCCAGGAAGGAGAGAGAGAAGAGATAGGTAGGAAACAATACATACCCTTCCAAGGGGTGCTCCCAGTGATCTGTTTCCTCTAACTCGGCCACACTATCTATATTTTCTACCATCTCCCAGTAGTCCATTCAATTATGAACTCATCAATGGATTAATCCATAGATGAAATCAGAGCTCTGGTGATCCAGTCATTTCTCAAAAGCCTCTGAACATTGCTGAGTTAAGATTGCCTTGGACACAAATACCCAGATGGCAAGGTTCACATTAAGCATGTCTAGTGCAGAAAGTTGGAAGGAGGGTTTTTGAAGCTTGTGTGATTTGGAAATGGAGCCTGGTTGTTTCCTTTCCACATCCTCAGAAATCCTAGACAGTTGTATACTTCCTGAATGGCAGTTTCCTCTGCTAGACATGAAGATGTGGCTAGCTGGCCCAGAAGCTGCATCCCGCAGTCCTTGAGACAGTGTTTTTCTAACCCTGCTTGTTCAAGGACTTCCAGGGGAGGTAGTCCTGCTGTTCGGGGAGCAATTGATTCATACCTCTTTCAAAGCAACTCCATAAATGTTCAGCTTTCCTGGGAATCCATTGCTGACTCTCCTAGTTTAATCAGTATCGCTGAGCTTTTCAAAGAAGGATGACTAATTATGGATTTCTTCTGTGGCTTATAGGGAAAACATTCCAGTTTTTCTGAAGGCCTTTAGACTGGGCCTCAGGTGACCAGAGTTATCAGAGATATAGCTTCTGAATGATTCAGAATAATCAGAGATCCTACTTTCATCTTTTCTTCCACTTACAATAAAATATAATATACTGCAAAATAACCTCGGTGCAAATTGGTGTTAGGAACTAATTTTCTTCTACATATTCTAAGAGTAAACGTATTGGTATATATGAGACATTTGGAACAGTGCCAGGAACACTGAGTATGTTTCCATTACTAGTAAATATCGAAAAGCAGACATAGGTAATACTTCTCATGTTTATTAAATGACACAATTAGAAAAACAAAGAAGTACAATAACACTACCCTGAACATTTTTTTGCTGTTTCCGAAGGGGAAGAGGTGGCATGATAAGTAGAAGAGACACTGGACCCTAGCAATTAGGAGCTTTGGGGCTGGTGATGATTTTGTTTTTCTCTGTGTCTTTGAGCACATCATTTACACTCTCGTGGTCTTTTTTTCCTACATAAAATGAGTAAACAGTAAGATAATCTCTAAGGTCCCTTACAGCTCTAACCTGAGCTCCCATAAGGCTTAAAGAGCTGGTTTTTTTTTTTTTTATGTCATATTCTTGGGAGAACTTCATGTTTGCACTGAAATCAGGCTTGAAGTCGTTTGCATGGATTCTGCAAATTGCTTTCTTAAGCGAATGCATTTGTGCATGGCTGTTCTGGCACTAAATCACACCTCTGAATCTCCAGTCTATCATATTGGATGGAATGGGTTAGGCAAGATTAAAATGCTCAGTCATTTAACTGAACATGTGTGGCACAGTTGTTCACTCCATTTCCTCCACCCAGGACCACTTTGATTTATTTCATTTCCTATGTCACTTAGACCTTCTGCCCATAAAATAAATATTTAAATCACACATTAGATTTTAGAAAATGTTGAGCTATTTGTTATACCATTTGTACATGTTAACTATTTTATAATATATCTTTTAAATAATTACAGTGGATTTTAAATTGTGACTTCATAATGTGAATAGGATGCATGATGGTTTGTTTTTTAAAGAGCCCTGATGTAAGAGCTTGCTGAGAAGGAAACAAATGGTTTAGTAAAACTAATTTGAAAAACTCCATCTTTTAAACAATAACACAGCAAGATATGACTCTAAGAGTTTTAGGTAAATTTAATATGGTGATGATTAAGCTATCTTGCCCAATATTTCTAGTAAACAGTATATTTGTTATAAGAAAATGATATGGAGTAGCTTCTGAAGAAGTCTTTTAATAAACTTCTTAATGTCAAATGCAAATGTTTAATTTCAGAATAAACAATGGAAGTATGGCTCTTATAATTGCACGAAACACTTCTCGACCACAATTTATAAAACACCTGAAAAGATATGCCAGTATAAAAAATCAGGTATGGTGCCTTCTTTTTGTTATTTATTTGCAAAGCTATTAATCATGGAGTAAAAGATGCTTCAAGAGTTGACACCAAGCCTTGCCTCATAAAAAAGGCTTTATTTTCTTCTGAATACATTAATCTTTTTTCTTCGATCTGCATTTCATCCAGAGTTTGAAAAACATCCACCAGTGTTAATATAAACTGACTTTTATGAGATATGGGTTATACATTTTTTTCCAAATAGAAAATATTGTGTTATATTGAAAAGTGAAGCAAATTAAGAATATAATCACACACTCAGGCTGTTCTTCAGAGTGAAAAGTAATGAAATCTGAAGTTGTATCAGCAGTTTTGATTTTATGGTAGCAGGCTCTCCAAAGTTATGCACTTTGGATTTTTCTGACATTTATTTGCAGGTATGCCTATGTTCACTGGTTAAAAAATATTTCCAAATATGTTTCATAATACACCACTTGTATGCAGACATTATTTTATTCAAAACAAGAACACATAGAGATATATATTTCCACTTAAGTGGTTTAACTTTGAAGAGACAGTAGCTATATTCTTTTGCCAGATTTTTGGACCAAGTATGAGTCTTGAGGTACACAGGTGTGGTTGTAAAACCCTATCTATAGCCTTGTACATTCTAAAGGTATAAAATAATGTTTAGATGTAGTGGAAAAACAACAAATGATGGGAGGGATGTAGTATATCTAGCCAATGACCGGCTGCTGAATCTTGCTTCCAGACCAGAGCCATTGCCACTTATTAGTGAGAACCTGAGAAGCTCCCATTCTTCCTTCATAATTTCAAACTTCCTTAGGAAGTCCTCAAGCAGTGAGTTTTCATCTATCTATTTTTTTGATAAACATATTGAGTAACCAACTGGATATTTTAGGAAATTCAGACATAATCACACTTTCCTTAAACATAAATCTCTAACAAGACAAAGGAGACAAGTAGATATAAGACAAGTGATTGTAAGCCTAAGTAATATATGTGTGTCTAGGAGAAAAATGTGGATTTAATGATTTTTTAAAGGAATTTATGCATTTTCTGATTTTACTAATTTTTAATTTATTACATCATTTTATTTGTTTATTTTAATCGTTAAGTTATAAATTGACAAAGTATAACTATCTGTATTTATGTGGTAAGAAGTGATGTTATGATTCATAATACAGTATGGAATGCAAAGGATTTAAGTAGATCTCAAAACAACAACAACAAATATATGAGTAGTTGTTAAGCATATGAAGATACTCAACATCAGTAGTCATTACTGAAATGTAAATTAGTACCACAGGGTGATATGATAACGCATGTCTCAGCATAACTGCAAAAGACTAAAGATTCCTGGATTAGTGAGGATGTGGAACAATTTGAACACTGATACATTGGGTTTGGAAATGGGAAACACTTGGGCAGTTCCTTTAAAAGTTCAAAATGCTTTTACCATATGACTTGGCAATTTTACTCCCATTCATTCCATCAAGAGAAATGAAAACATGTTCACACAAAGATTTTACTAAATTTTAAACATTAAAATCAACTTTATTTTTCTTACTCCAAAAGCAGCACATGTTCCTTGCTTTTGTTTTTTGTTTTTTGTCAGAAAACAGAAACAAGAAAACAAAATGAACAGCATTCAACATCTCTTTTTTCTAGGGATAATCAACATTATTATCTTGGTATAGATTTTTTTTCCTAATCTTTTTCTATGAAATAAATACCTGAGAAGTGAGTATTAACTTATTAATGAGAACCTGAGAAGCTCTATTTTAGGGGAGCATCTATTGCATAAATTGTGTTTGGAAGATCTCTTTTAGAATTCCCTAAGGAGCAAATTTCTGAGGCAATTTTTATAGACATATTTTTTTCTCTAGTGAAAATAACTGTCTTCTGATTTCAAAATCAAAGCTTACCTAAAAGAATAAGATATACAGAATATAATGAAAATAGTTCTATATCAGTAGGAAAATGTTTTTAAATGAGATTATGTTATGCAAGATATAATGTATTTTTCCATGTACTTAGCCAGTGATTTTTTTTTTTGATGGAAGAAATTACGGCCTGTGTGTTTTATTAGATTTAACTGATTCACATTGCTATTTCCAGAAATTAAAGTTTATGATATTGTTCTATAATTTTTTGCAAAGAAATTCCAAAATGTCTTATATAATGGTATACAGGAAAATTAAATAGAATGATTCCCAAGGCAACTGCTGTCAATGTTAGTTGGATATATTTGTTAAAAGTTATCGATACATATCATACTAACATTGGGACTGTGTGTGTGCATGTGTATTTGGTCTCTTTCCTTCATAGTGACATTTTCCAAAAAAAATGTAAATTACATAAGATTATAAAGACTAGATGAATGTGGGTTTATATAATCTATTGTATAATTAATAGTAATGCTGGTCTTTAGGAAGGAAAAACATGGTTCTTCTGTCTAAGGAGAGCAACATCTTGTTCCCTGAACTCTATTTACCAGGTTAAACAAGTGAAGTTTACTATATAATCTGTTGTGGAACAGATTGAGAATCACTTTTGCTTTCCCCATCTTTATAAAATATAGAGTAAAATAACCTAAGTCCTTTCAACTCCATCCTATTGCTGACCCCCTTATCAAAGTTCCCCCATTTCTCTTTTTTTTTATCATTTGGGGTAATTTAACACCCTTAAGTGTTAGTGCTTCCTCGGGATATACTTGCAGCCCTCTTGACATCTCAGGATACCCTCTTCTGGGTGATTTCCTTGTTCCCTGCTATTTGAAGTGCTCATCTGTGCATCATGTCTCCCAAGGGTCCTGTCTTCTCTTCTGATCAGCAGAGCCCCTATGCCTTCTGTGTGCTGCAATGATTATGGAACCTACAGCATCCTGAGTCCCCATGTCCATAGCCGACCTTATCACTTTCCTCTAGCCACTCCTTCCATATTCCCTGTGCAGGTCAGTGGCACCCCTGCCACCCACCCTGAAGTTACTCTGGACTCCTCTTTCACTCCTTCCTCACAATCTCCCATCAACTACTTCTATTGAATCTCATCTTGAAATTTTTCCTTCATTTGAATTTAAACCTAATCCCTTCTTGCTCCTATTGGCCTCCTTGTTTTGTTTCTCTGGTCTGGTTTTCTGTACTTCCTTCGAGAGGCAGTTTCCTGAAACACATTGGATTTCTCTTCTGCTTCTCCTCGTCATCAGGCTGAGGTCTAATTTTCTCAGTATGGAGTACATGGCCCTTTGTATTCTAGCCCCTGCCTGTGTAACAACCCCCCCCCCCCCCCCATCCGCCACCAGATTCCCTGTGTCTTGGTCATTGTGTTAGTTTTCTAGGACTATCACAACACATAGAATAGGCGGTTTAAACAATAACAAAATTCTGTTTCACAGTTCTGGAGGCTAGAAACTGAAGGTGTCAGCAGGTTTAGTTTCCTGAGAGGCTGTGCTTTAGCTTGCACATGGCTACCTTCTCACTGTGTCCTCCTGTGGTCTTTCCTGGGGGTATGTGCATCTCTCTGTGCTTTTGTAAATATTATTTCCTCTCTCCAGAGCTCCTTTCCCTCTCCTCCAGGGCTAAGTCTTCTGTGTTCTCAGCTCACATGGGAAGCTTTCCTCACATGCAGAGCCTCCTGGCCTCTTGTCTTTCTGAGCTCCATGATCTCACTGTCATAGCACTTCTCTGTATAATTTTGATGGCTTCTCTTCTCCCCTTCACTTCAAAACAGACCTCACACATCATACTGTTGGCTTCCTGAAGTCCCGTTTAACAATGTCTGTGGCTTCATCATTAATAAATTTGAATGGATGACTGGTGCTTCATTCTGAGAGGTGTGATGATTTAAGATCATAGACTTACTGGCGGTGGATTCAGTTCTTGGCATTTCATAACTTACAGCTTGATCACTCCTGCCTGTCATCACGTGGTGTTCTTTAAGAACATCAGTCATGTAGCGTTAGGACAAACCCTAATGGCTTCACCTTTAATTGAGGACACTACTTCCAAGTAAGGTGACATGCACAATTACTAGAATTAGAACTTGATATTTGGGGGGTGGGTGTAATTTAGCCAATAACAGCCAGTTATATAGATGACTCATTTAAATCACATAATCCTTAAAATAAGTGATTATGTAGAAATCTCTGCAAGTATGAGTCATGTAATTTCTGCTTGATGCGGAAGGTCTACTGTAGTTCTTACAGAGAACAAGCCCCTCAGAGCCTCTCACTCCACCTCTATCAGAATAGCTGATGCTTCCTTATTGTACAATATGAACTGCACAATCTGTTAGATCTTGCTTTTGACATATATAACAATGTTGTGGAAGATATTCGTTTTTTTATTGCCTTTTAAAACTCTGCTTCAGGAGATCTAACATGGCGGCGAAGGGACTGCATCACCCCAGGGCGCCGCRTCACTAAGTGGGAGAAAGACGATGCAAAACGGCTGAAGGATATCTTTGGGAAGTTCAAGTGAAATTGAGGTGCTCCAGAATCTAGTGGACAGATTTCCATCGTG